TAACAGGATTTTTGTTACGTGTCCATACAATTTCAACTTCGACTACTTGTCGGTGGTCTTGTGTTCTACCAATGGACTTGATTATTATTTGATGTTCCGCACTGCAAAATTTGTGATGCGGTCTGCACAGAAAATAGTTCTGCAAACTCTAACTTCTAATGATTGGTTTTGTTTGCTGCAATTAAACCGTTAATATCAATGAATAGTTGTGATAGGAAAAAAATGTGTCAGCCAATGCACGCAATAATCTGACATTTGATTTCAGGCAAATATCCTCGTCGTCCCAGATTGTTTTTACTTTTTAACTAATTCCCCTGACTTTTGGGGGGATTTTTTTTTTGTTTTTTGGGGTTTTTTTTTCTCCATTTTGGGGCCCTCTCCGATGATATTCGAGCCAAAGTATCTAAGTACTAAAACTTGATGACCTGACTTTTATCATGATTTTATGTACTTTATCATTGTTAGACAGTTGGCATATTCTGGATTAATTATCATGCCCCGTCTGGAGGAGGATGCTTTATACATGTTCTTCACGAGACCGACGATTTCTTCTTGTTTGCTAGCTAGACCTTCAGAAGGTTTTCGATGATACAAGTCTACGAAGACGTGGTAGATATTTTGTTGGTGGTGTTAGTATTTTTCGCGTAGAAATCAGGGAGTAGTGCTTCTTTGCTTTTTTAAGCGATGATTTATTCCATTTGAGGCATGATTCTATTTAATATGATTTTCGACATCACTTAGTTGCTTGACCAATCAAACTTAATCTCGTAGATCTGACATTGTTAGAGATAGCCCTTTTCGGAAGGATGATCAATAGTGGACATGGTATGTTTTTGGTCTCTAAACCGATTGACCGATCTAACAGATTTGTATAATATATCTCACTGCTTCACCGCCAGCTATGTTTACTCAATACCTCATGCTGTCAATTCCAGTTGCCCTAAAAAATTTCAGCGACTTAACTGTTTTATTTTATTTTTTATTTTTTATTTTTTTTTTTACACATCATTCTTGAGTTTGTGCAAATCATAACTTGAGGGTCAGTGAATGGTTGAAATTATCTTGACACTAAAAGAATG